TAACAGCATTCAATTTACGCACTCTAGCATTTTGATATCAAATTGATGCATTAGGTCGCTAAATTGAGCAAATTCGCGAATCGTCGTCAATTACATTTCTGCGTGTTTTATATGGACTAGATCTGTTGTGTGCAATTACACTAAACTCATATAATCATGCGTTTTTTTGCCTTGTACAGACTATTTTGCTACTAAGCACGCGCTAATCCCCTTTCTCTGAACCCAAAAATTCAAAACTGAATATGAAGACAGTACATGCAAGTCTGTGATTTCGATCTCTTACCGTAAACCTACCGTATCTTCACCGTGCAGAATGGGCTCTATATGGGTGATCATTATGTCAAATAGTCTCTAAGCGAAGAGTGAGCGAAACCCGAAATTCTGAATGTTTGGCAAAAATGGACTAGCACAAAAGTCTAATTCTTTCTATAATGTTTATCATTTTAAGTAATTAACCCTCTTTCCTGAAAATGAGGTTATTTTCGTTTTTAGACAACATTTTGTCGTTTTTCATTCATTTTTGAAAAGAATTAATTTCATCTATCAAACGCACGTGAACATGAACAGCGCTGGCACCACTAGCATGACTAGCATCGCCTGAGCTGGTGTTAATCCCAATAGATTACGATCTGTTAGACCGGCATAAGAAAAGGATCCAACCAGTCCCGCCATTCCGGTACCAGATGACCAAGTAGCGATGGTGTTCCTTAATCTAACAATGTTGAAAAAAGATTTTAATGAACTCTTATGGAATTCCCACTTAGAATAGTGTCCTGCCAATCCTAGGTAAGTAGTTTCTCCTAAACCACTCGAAAACGATGCCAGACATACTCCTACAAGTGCGACAGGTACTGTGTCGGCAAATGCAGTGAGGATCAATGAAGCTGCTTGAGTGAAGCAGACCGTGCTATGACGAAGCCTAAAGGATTTCGGTTAGTTTACCCAAGCCCCAAATACGGTAAGTGTTAAATTGCTACCAATATGGCACTCGATGCATTATGAATGGAAATAGCAACTTGATAAATAGGCATGGTATGATGTTACACAGAAGAACTACACCTGTTGATGTTGGCGAGCAAATTCTTGATGTAATTTCGGGCTGCAATGAAATTTGATAGCGTGTTTACTGTAGCTATAAATGAACTTAAGTAACTAACAATACAAGCGGCATCTGTTGAATTCTCCGTGAAGTCACGGTTTTTGTTCTTCTTCAGAATATCTTGGGCTGCACCAAGCATCACACTGTACGCGAAATTGTTACACAAGCCGAAAATGCTGAACAGAAGAGTTTCATAATCTTTAGATAAAAGTATGCTGAAAAGCTGTAAGTGATAATTCTGGAAAAAAAGGAATTTTGGGAACTGAAAAGCTCACACTTTAAAAAAAATTGAATTATCAAACCTTACCAGAAAGAGACTAAATTCCGCCATTGATGGCTTTTCGCCTTTACAACTGTCATTGCTCTCAGCGGCAAATGTTTCTTACTGCAATTGATATATTTGATATTCATAAATTGTAAGAAATATGACTAAGAAAGAATCCATAAGAGTCATACTAAATTAGACGTAATGAATGAGAATTTATGACTGTGAAGGAAAAGTGATTAAATGTGAAGAATATGTGAACTTGCAATGGAGATAGCGATGGTTCATCGCGACTTGATTGTAGTT